TGTACTTTATTTATACATCAGTAATGCAGCGCTATAAAATGAATCTTTCAAATTCGATGCCAATATGTCATGATTACGTATATAAATAGAATTTTAGTGATTGAAATTCAATTCCCTGCAGATCGTGGGTTGTAGAACTGTGAGACACAATTTATCTGTTTCTAGTCGAGTCTTGAATAGGTTCATTTATTTTAAGCAGGTAAATTTATAATTTATGAGTTCTACTTTCTCGTGTTCTTGTTTGTTTAGCGCTGCTGTTAAGCAATTTGCCAGCTCAACATTTATGAGTTTTTTCAGGAATTTCTTTAAGACGTAAGGTCACCTTCCAGGAAAAGTCACATTTTGACAGGTTCGGTACATTATCTAGTAACAGATGCCACACACGCTGATACGATTCATACTTTTATATCTCATCAGCGTGAAATTATGCAATCCATTGTCGGGATGTTTTAATGCCACCACCCACGGTGTACCTTCACGAAAGAAACCGGAATTTGCGTTTTTCATATTCCAAGAAGGGATTTGAAAACCTTGGATACGACATGAGCCGTTTTCTTTGAAAATGGTGAAAGTCCATGTTGACAAAAAAAATTGTTAACGATAAAATCGAATACAATTTACTGTACACTTTTTCCAAAAAAATCGGTTGAATTTTTGAACAAAAACCTTGTTACTAATAAATTGAATATCTTTACTTAAAAAGTGAAAAATTAAATTATTTAAAATTTGAATTCGTTTACTGCAATGGAATTATAACTATGCGATAATTAGTAAACACATGAATAAAACACTGCCATCGAACAACTAAAATGAATTGCATTTCAAATTAACTTATTAACTACTTAAAACTATCGAATAATTCGATGACTTCCATCGCTGAAAACATCGCTTTCGAATAATTCAAATGAATTACAACTATCGAATAATTCGATAGTTTTTAATCGATAGTTCCCATCGCAAATCAAAATGTACCTTTCGGGGTTTTAATTTAGGAAATAATTCAAACAAAATAGTAAAACAAAAAAATCAGAAGACATTAATATACAGAAAATGTGTATTGTGTAGCCTACCTGACAATTGTATTGCTCATTTGGGAATTAGTTAATACTTAATTAGACAAACTCAAGGCTTCCAAGAAGAGTGCCAGAAAAATATTGAAACTTTTTTTTTCGAAATTTTCTAGAAGATATTAACAGTTGAAGATCGAATTTCAACTTTGTTATTAAGCATTATTTTTAAATTGTTCAATGTTTAATTGGTAGCATATTGGAATACTTAAGCATTCAAAAAGAAAAATTTCGATCTTTGCTTCAAATTACGAAAATCTTTGATACCAAAAAAGTGCTCTTCTACAATTTTTTGATGAAAAGTCACAGCGGCAATGATGGTTTTTTGTCATTAACAGATGGTTACAGGTGGATAGACCTTGTCAATAATAACACTAATTTGTCAAACTGTGACTTACTTTGAATTCTCTTTTACGAATTTGCGAATATGCAATTAGTTCACGCGGAATGCTGCAGTAAGATAGCAAAAGCTGAAAGAACTTACGCCAAGATAGTGGACGACAATTCATTTTCGGGTTCCAGGCACAAAGGAACAAGTATTGGACATAATCGAATCAGGGCCTTCCAGGGGCTCTCAGAGCACAATAACTGACACCAAAGCCAGAGACCCAAGCGCAAAATAAATACCGAGGAAGGGCTACATTCCTACCACGTTTGTACGATACACGCATACACACATATGGTTTATTTTTAAACACCAATATTCGAGGTTATGAGCACAGGTTGACATTTCGTCAACAAATCTTGTTGAATTTAATTAGGCAGATTACCTTGAAAAACATTGCTGCCGTATTTTTGATATAGTTTTTTTGCAAATTTCTCAGTTATTAAGAACAATTAATTTATTTTACTATTTTTCTGTACTCCTATAACAGCGCCAGACAACACTTCCAGACGAATGACGTAAACAAAACAACAAATCACGTAAAGCCATGTGGTGGCCATAATGCTACTCATTGCAAAATTGTTGGGAAAATAGATTACATACCATTTGGTAATCTGGTAATAGCTCAAAACATAATCATTGTTAGAGAATATTCATGGGATATTGCGTGCACATCTATGATATATTCCTAGAATGTGACATAAATATACAGGCATATTCATAGAAGATTACGAGCTTCATTCCTGGAATATCTATAGCATATTTTTAAATTACAACTTTCTTGTCCTTGGAATATTCATTATGAATATTCATTATGAATATTCATTATGAATATTCGTAAACTATTAAATGTTCTGGTTTGTCCAAAGATTATCTCCTCTTATCTGGGTTTTTACAACAGTGTCCTAATTTCTCAATATAAAGTGGTCACATGCCGCGAGCGAATGACCTTAAAGTTACTTTAAAGAAGACCCATCAAGCGGTAGTTTTTCACTTTCTGCGGATGGAGTCAATATTTCCCACATTAAAGGTGGGAGTACTGGTGCCTTTTCCTAGAAATCATATCTGACATTAGCCAATAGTTTCCCTACAACAACCCCCATTTAATAACTAGTATATAATGCAAGAAACGGGTGGAACAAAAAAACTGAAATTTAACGAGTCGCCAAAATACTTTTTTTTAAGCCGTCAACCATTTTGATTTAATCCAGCCAGAGTCGTCCAATTAAACCACACTATAAATGTCTTCATAATAAAGAAGGTTTTAAAATTAGCTGAACCTCATAGCAAGTGGTAAGATTACTTATCAGAGTTATTTCCACTGAATCACTACTAATATTCACTAAATGAGAGTACTAAATATCCAGAGAAAAGAAATTACAGAGAGTTGCCAGTACAAATCACATTTACACGTGATCTGTGGTTTCCCGTTCCACGCATGACAATGGAACTAACTAAACGGATGGTCTGTTAATCGTCAGATATGCCGTCCAAAAGACGTTCAAATGTTTCGCTTTTTGGACGTGCGAAGCATGACGTCTTTATGTCGTCAGATATTCGTGCAATGACGTCCAAGACCAAAAATGCATATACATCATATTATCGTCATATTCGTCATTTCTGCTACCTGGGATGATGTTCCACTCTGAGTTTATTTCGTTTCTAAATCTTTGTGCGTTTTATTGCCTTTGTCGTCATCCTTTCATTCAGCTAAGTAGAATATTGTTCGTTTGTTGGGCGTCTAAAAGTTGTCATTTATAGGAACTAGCCTATGTAAAGGGAATGAAAGTTTTTTACTTGAAGGCAAATGTAATATTATTCTTAGCCTCCAAACTTCCATCTGTTCATTATGTTTTACTGATATATGGGTTCTATTTTTTTATTTACCTACATAATCGATTAATTCGAGCTTCTAGATATGACATTTTTTTATGTGCAGGACTTGGATGAAGACTGACGAAGCCGGACTTAAAACTGAAGAAAGAAAAGCTGGTACTCGTCGCTAAAGAGAAATGGGTGGACTTGTTGGTAAAGCTTAACTCGATGCTTCACTTATCCAATAGCTTATTCGGAGGTTTGATTTCGGTAAGGAATGAATTAGCAAGGTATCCTGATATTTAAACGGATGCAAATATGTGTATGTGTGCAAAAAATTGATTCCCGTTTAGTATCTTCTTAAATTATAAATCTTTGAATTTGGAATTTGTAACTTAGTTGGTGTTATAAAATTTTATGTAGTTTAACAATTTGATTTTAAACTTTATACAATTAAAGAAACGTTAATTTTATCAGAATCAAGAATTTACACATAAAACACCTATCAAGGGTTTGGCTTAGTAAATAATTAATTATAGGGGTTACAATGAACGATTATAATCATCCAAGTAGCACTATATATACACAATCCAGTTCTTACTTCACTAATCCTAACATGGCGTCCATGCCAGCAACTTTATCATGGCAACATAGTGTTGGTAATATGGTAAGTAATTTTATACAACCTATAGAAAGTAAGCTATCTCGATGGTTTTGGCAAGGTATTAACACACTTCCACAAAGCCATTTCTCTAAGGATCTTACGAAAGTAAATTATTTTGATAAATATCTGTGGCAAGGAATATTTAACGAGAGATTAGAATCACTTAAAGAACAATTCGCATTTGAATTCACAGAACAACAAAAATCTCTGCCAATACAGAATAATGTAGTATTAACAAAAATTGATAAGGTAAAGGATCAAATAATAGCTGACTTACCACAAGATAAATTGGTACTAGAAGACCAATTGATTTATCTGCAAGGTATTGTTGGTAAATATATGCTTTCTCCACAATCTTATGAAAAAGGATTAGACCGCTTAAAACAAGTTGTTTCTAATAATGAGCAATACATAATAATTATTGAAAAAGCAAGATCTGGATTTCGATCTGAGCTGAAAAAGCAACCAGCATTATTAGCAGAATGTTTACAAGGTGATGTTTTATTCTTAATTCAACATCATTCAGAGTCATCTCAGAACTCATTAACACCAACACCCTTAAAAAAAATATTGAGTTATTACAAACCATTAATGGCACATAAATCTTATGTCAGACATCAGAATTGGTTACAAGAATGTTACAATACTCAGTCACTGTTACCACCACCAGTTATCAAAAGACATGTTACAACAGATACCCCATCGAATGAAAGAAAAGAAGAGAAGAAAACATGGAATCGATCCATACGTAATTTGTGGAAATTATTATGCGAGCATGCTGGTAAATTAATTACATTAGGATTAGCTACTCAAGTGACAGTTGCTCAAGCACTAGAAACTCATGTAACTCAACAGCATTCTAGACTCAGAATAGGCTTAGCCAATCGGTCTAATTTATTAGATACATTAGAAAGAGTGAACCGAACATTTACTAATAATACAACATTATTAGACTTTAAAACATTACCTACACCCATGGAGCGTTGGTCATCTACTTTAGACAATAAATCCGCCCGAGAAACAATAACTTTTGAGAATAAAGGTTACACGAACAGCACAGAAATATTTACATTACCATTCAACGTCAGTGCTGGTTCTGAATTTGATCAATACATGGTAATTAAACAGGAATTGAAACAGGAGATATTGAATCAGTTTGATAAGATCAATGATGATTTGCTTGCACTCATAGAAATATTTAGTGCAAATGTGAATACTGAATTATTGGAAGCGAAATCTAATCAAACGATGTTATTTCGTGTAATCAGAGCATCTTTTCCATTTAGTCAACGTCAAAACTGCAATGTATCAAAAGATAAGCTAGTTGAACTTCAAAATACGATAAATGATACATTGTCAAATGTTAATACTCCAAGAGATAGCAATTGTGAATTAAATACTGTTAATACTAGTAGTTGTGATGAATTAATCCAATTAATACAGTGTGGAGTTAATCATTTTAAAAATGGATTTCTACAAGCAACTGAAAATAAAATTTTATTAACATCATATACTAAGTTAGACAATGCTTATAATGATTTACATGCACAATTTCAAAACATGAGTGATAAAATAAGACAGCAAGTTTCACAAGAATATCAGCAGATATTAAATGAATTAATCAAAGATTTTCAACTATTAAGAAGATTATTAAACAGTTTAAAAGTAGAATTAGCGCAAGAAATAGAAGGAAATTGTATTTCAGAAATCGGCCATGGGCACATTAAAACAGCTGTAAGTAAATTTCAAAAACTAAATGATTTTGGTAATGGTCATCTATTACATTATATTATAGATCAGGCATATACTAATTATGGTCAACTGAATAATTTTGACAATATAATAAATTTTATAGCACAGCTACCTTGGTTTTCAGATAGGGTGATAAGCTATGAGGCACTATATGATAAAATGGAAAAAAAATCTCCTAAAATATTAATTTTTGTGAGCCAGATTGAACAAGCCATAGGGAACCAGTATATGCTTAAGAATGAACCAATATTTGTTTCTAGGCTAAATAATTTAAAGAGTAGGGCAATGATTTATTTTAATAATATCATTGATGCATGGGCCTATAAGATGCGGAATAATGATGCTAAAGAAATTATGGAATTTGCTAAAAAATATGACTGTGATACCAAAAAGTCTATCCTAGCTCTAGTAAGAGAAAGAGAATATGCAAGTGATTGAGAAAATGCAGAAACATAATAGCGTTTATTCTAGATCTACGTTGCCACGGAAGTGGTGCTGTAGTTTGTTATCTTTGTTTAAGCAAATGCACCGTAACCCGCCAAAAAATTTTTCTATATAACATTACAGAAATGTTTCGTTGAAATGTTACTGAAGCGTTGCGCTAGACGTTATTTAAACGTTGCAAATAAATATTTTGTAACATTATACATGGTACATCTTTGAATAGTGCAAATATTTTAATTGGTGGTACATAATGGCCCTAGAAGCAGAACTAGGGGATTGCCCTGCTTCGAGGACAAAAATAATATTTTCGAGCCTGTGAATTGTAAATTTAAAACATTTTGAAACAAGTTAGATTAAAATGTTCTGCAAATATTTTTATGAAAACGTTATAGAATCATGAAACTGTATAAGTGATTCCTTGATGAGTACAAATATTTTAACTGGTGGTACATTTTTGTCCTCGAAGCAGGGACAATCCTATAGTTCGGTTTCTAGAGCCATTATGTTCCACCAATTAAAATATTTGCACTCTTCGTAGATACACCATGTATAATGTTACAAAATATTTATTTGCAACGTTTAAATAACGTATAGCGTAACGCTTCAGTAACATTTCAACGAAGCGTTTCTGCAAAGTTTCATTTGCAGTTACATAAACATTTCTGAAACATATAGTGCAGGTAACTGAAACGTTTCGGGATTTTAATATACGCTTCTCAAACGTTTCGGAAACGAAAAGATGTTTAGCGGGTAGAAGATTAATTTGGAAAGGAAATAATTGTATCATACACAGTCTAGCCTATAATTGTCAATATGTGTACCCTGTGTAAGATAATGGTGGTTACGATTTAGAGATGCTATGTGAAAATGATGCTATTACTTGAAAAAAAACACACAGAAACTCCAACAAGAGAAGGATATTGGAAGATTGATGTTAGTAAATTTTTGTTGTTGTGTTGTAACATGTTATAACGTTTTCAAGAGGTAATAACATAATAAATATTACGTCACAAACTTGGCAGAAAGTGTAACTATAGGGCGTTAGTTTGTACTTGTTGCAGATAACACTATATAATAACACTTACATTAAGTAAAGCAATATTTTTCTGTTGGCAATTTGTCAGGTGGTCGATCGAAATAATACATCTGGAAACAATTTAGAAAAAGTAAGTGAGAAACAACTAAGCAACGATTTACTTGAAAAGTTAATAACCAAGTATTAGTTATTAGAGGACTATCTGTTTTACATGTATTAGAACTAGCTATTTTATCACTTGCCATAACTGCTCCAGTATACAGGGTGATTCAAATCTGGCGTCATTCCTTTTAAGGGGTGATACAGGCTCACTTGGAGAGGACGAGAAAAATATTGCAGTTTTTTTTTTGGAAAATTTCTAGAAGATATTAACAGTTGAAGATCCAATGTCAACTTTGTTATTAAGTATTATTTTGAAATGTCCCATCTTTCATTGGTGGCCTATTGGAATACTTGACCGTTTGTAAAGAAAATTTGCGATCATATAGCGTAAAAAACACGCTTCTACAATTTTTTGACAAAAAGTCAAAGGGGCGCTGATGTTTTTTGCCATTAACAGATAGTTACAGGTTGATAGCCTTTGTCAATACTAACAAGCATTTATCAAACTGTGACTTACTTTGAAGCTCCTTTCACAAAATGTACAGCAACATCGAATTTGCGAATATGCGATTAGTTCTCGGTAAATGCCACAGTAACCGTAATCAGAAACTGTAAGTAAGTTAGACCAGCCAAGGGTTAGAGACACTGGATAAATGGCTCCAGGAATTGACGAAGTTAGTGTATGTTCTTGACATACTCGGGTTCCAGACCTAGAGGAACAGGTATTGGAGATAATTGCAGCTGAGCCTTCAGGGGTACTCGAAGCATTGCACGACAACTGACCCTTTTTGAGCCATCGGATAAGTGCCCCTTTAGCTCCCACGAGGCAGAGCTACATTCCTACCATGTTGCATGTCTGTAAGATACACAGGACCCAATAACAAATTATATATCTGATCTGCTCAACCCCGGTACATATTGAGCAGGAGTTAATTAAGCGAATACGAGAAGCTGCTCAAAATGTGAGCCCAGACTGCTGCCAAGACCTGGTTGGAGTTAAACGGGGCAGAACGTCAAACCTCTCTTGTGAGTTTAAACTTAATTGTATGTTATTTGATCGATATTGGTCAGTGACACATAATCTTTAACAGGATGTTTTTGATGACAGCTGTGACGGATTGCATATGCCTAATACCACTCATTTGCCCCAAAAAGGTGGGCAGAACTGACCGCAATGTGACAACGTTATCCGAACCTCAAAGTATTTCATTGTAACTTATCTTTCTTTGCTTTTCTTGGTTTCTAGATTTTGTAGTAATAAAAAAACAACATGTATTAACGTAGAGTTAAATAGGCAGATTAATTTCAAAAACATTGTTGCCATCCTTCTGTTTTAGCTTTTTGCAAATATACCCCTTTTTATTAACGATTAATTGTTTTCACTATTTTGCCTGTACTCTTAAAACACCCCCCATATACCTCCAGAGGAATGACGCTAATTTTAAGTCACCCTGTATTGTTATTTGCGAAGTAAACCATTTACTAATTTAGATAGCAAAACTAATTCTGAACTACCTGCTAGACTGTATCGTCATTTACTGATTTTACCGTTAAATTGTTTTTTGCAGCAATAAAACGGTCAAATTGTAGCACGCGTACCCAACTTTGATCAAATTTGTCAGTTTTTAAATTATTCAGCTTTAATGTTAATATTATAAATAATGATGATTATTAGGTTTATTGCTGCAATGTTTAGCTTTGCTAAATATTAACGTAGTTAGTATTAGCGTCGTTAGTATTATATGTAATTTTTGGTTGATTATTAGCCCAATACTACATCATCGCGTTGCTAAAGAGTATGACGCGAGTAGTCTTTCTGCAACATATTTAACTGAAACCAAAACTGGTATAGAAGTTATGAAAGCCACTACACTGAGTCAGATATCATTACGCGTAAAACTGAACTTCAGCGAAGAAAATCAATTTGCTCTGTCACACATAACCCCTAGTCTATCCAGACGAATCCAAAAGCAGCCACAAGCCCAACTATCTCCCGCTGAAGTTATGCTCAACCTCTACAACGCTACAAATCTCTACAACGCACCCTCAGTTCGAAGAGTAGCGAGGAAGCCGAAATGAAGCCAGTTGACAGGGGACGGTCTGATGACCGCACTAGGTGTACCTTACCGAGGAAATTATCTGTTGATAGAGATCTGAACGCTAACAAGCCCATCCTCAGTAAAACTTTGTTGAAAACTCCATGAAAATCATTTCAATACCAAATTTCGTTTGTCCTAATTGATCATCGTTGCTCTTTTTGATTTAATGAATAAAATTATTGTCAAAACTTAATTTGGAAACTATCACCTATAGGGAATTCCACTAAACAAAACATTTAGGCCGCTTTTCACCAAGCGATCTTAAACCAGTTTAACGTCTGAAACTCAGTTTAACGTGCGAAACGGGTTTTACCAGAACCTTAAACTTAGTATGTGCTTAAACGCGTTTAAAGAAACGAACTGGCCGATTTCGAGCGTTTATAGCTTTAAACGCCGTTTAAAGACTTGATCTAACCTCACTGTCTAAAGAATTGTTGTTGTTGTCGGTCGATTGGAAAATAATAAAATAGAAATGGCACGTAGGCCAGTTTATAACTTAATTTTTAATAAGTCGACGAATATTTTATTGTTCATTAGGTACTTTGTCTGTCCCGTCTGTAATGGTGACTGTCTGTCTGTCTAAAGGATCTGAAAGGGCGTCCGCAGGACCTAATTTTCTACTTGTTTAAGTAACTTTTCAAATAGAAAATCTAATAAAAACGTGTATACCATAGTCATAAGCCATATACGAATGCACAAACCGTGCATAAACAAAGCAAACTTTAAAATTGTACGGTTAGTTCGAGCAGAAAGTTTGGGTTTGATAACGGATTATTGACGTCATGGACCCAAATGCTTCCTTAGTAAGATGATTTTGCGATGAGGGTCGTAATATTTCTCACTTTTGCAACGATGCCAGTGTTTCCAGTTTCTTAAACTGCGTTTCAATAAACGCAGTTTG